TAACTTGGCATCTGCCAACATAACCCCCAATAGAAACATTAGTCGATTTGTATCTGCATCATAAAGTTATTCTCGATTGAAAATTTCAGTTTATGAGCCAAATTCTCGTCATTTGCGGCAGGTTTTAATTTTTTGCTTCAATATGAAGAAATCTGCGGCTGAGGCTCATCGAATGCTCTCAAATACTTATGGTGAGGCCGCTATTAGTGAAAGAACGTGTCGTGAGTGGTTTCAACGCTTCAAGAACGGTGATTTTGACGTCCAAGGTCATGCTCTGTATTTGGTGGGACCAGCTCGGCGTAGTGTATTATGAACTGTTAAAACCGACTGAAACAATCACAGGCGATCGGTATCGAACGCAATTGATGCGTTTGAGCCGTACAACGCAATACAATAGGCCGCAATACAACGAGAGACACGATAAAGTGATTTTGCAGCATGACAATGCTCGACCCGATGTTGCGAAAGTGATCAAGACATACTTGGAAACGTTGAAATGGGAAGTTCTATCCCACCCGCCGTATTCTCCAGACGTTGCTCCCTCTGACTATCACTTGTTTCGATCAATGGCACACGGCCTGGCTGACCAGCACTTCCGGTCTTATGAAGAAGTAAAAAATTGGATCGATTCGTGGATAGCCTAAAAGATGACCAGTTTTTTCGACACGGGATTCGTACGCTACCCGAAAGATGAGAGAAAGTAGTGGCCAGCGATGGACAATACTTTGAATCATAAATGTATAACCAGTTTTTTACAATAAAGCCTCGAATTTCGGAAAAAAAAAACGGCGGAAGCAAAGTTGTACACCTATATACATATATACATATATATATATTTATATATACTTACGTCCAAGCACCGCATGCATGGAGCTGAGAGAGTAAAACGCAACGGGAACCAAATTATTGTATTAGATTGATTTGATCGTCTTTGATGCGGTCCAAGCTCCGAACTGCAAGGGAGAAGGACGCAAATCGGGAGGCACTTCGCTTCGTCCTGTAGCTTCTAACGAGTCGGGAGTTGAATGGAGGACGAAGTGGAAATCTCAACTCGTCCGCTAAATAGACATACGAGTCGGATGTATCTTTTAATTTAAAGGATCCAAACTGGGTCAGTGTGCCGAGCGTACTTTAACCAGATGTGCCAATATGCCCTGGCTTTCGGTCATGGAACTTAATCTAAGTGACCGGAGGGAGAGGGCGAAGTACAATCGCGGGAGAGTTTACAATGAATACAAGGAGAAGTTTGTTAAATTAACAAAGATTAAATTTAATAGTAATTTAATAAAATTATTTAATACATTTTTCTTAAATATAAAAATATAATCCTTTGGTTCTTTATTCTGTAATATTTTT